CAGGCAGGAAACCCTACACCATTTCGGACAAATGGCTGTCCAGTCTCTTCTTAAAAACTTCCAGTGTTGGAGCATTTATGCTTCTGGAGGCAAGCTGTTCCACTGATTAATTGTTCTCACTGTCAGGAAGTTTCTCCTTAGTTCTAGGTTGCTTCTCTCCTTGATTAGTTTCCACCCGTTGCTTCTTGTCCTGCCTTCAGGTGCTTTGGAAAATAGATTAATTCCCTCTTCTTTATTGCAGCCCCTGAGATATTGGAATACTGCTATCATGTCCCCCCTTGTCTTTCTCTTTGTTAAACTAGACATACCCAATTCTAGCAACCGTTCCTTATATGTTTTAGCCTCCAGTCCCCTAATCATCTTTGTTGCTCTTCTCTGTACTCCTTCTAGAGTCTCAACATCTTTTTTACATCGTGGTGACCAAAACTGGATGCAGTATTCCAAGTGTGGCCTTACCAAGGCATTGTAGAGTGGTATTAATACTTCACGTGATCTTGATTCTGTCCCTCTGTTAATGCAGCCTAGCACTGTGTTGGCCTTTTTGGCAGCTGCAGCACACTGCTGGCTCATATTTAGCTGATTGTCTACTAGGACTCCGAGGTCCCTCTCACAGTTACTACTATTGAGCATGGTGCCACCTATGCTGTACTTGTGCATTTGGTTTTTCTTGCCTAAATGTAGAACCTTGCTTTTTTCACCATTGAATTTCATTTTGTTAGTTAGTGCCCTGTGTTCAAGTCTGTCCAGATCCTTCTGTATCTGAAGCCTGTCTTCTGGAGTGTTGGCTATTCCTGCCAGCTTGGTGTCATCTGCAAATTTGATGAGTTCACCATCTATCCCTTCATCCAAATCGTTGATGAAGATGTTGAAGAGTACTGGGCCCAGAACAGAGCCCTGGGGCACCCCACTACACACTTCCCTCCATATAGATGCAGTTCCATTGAGGAACACTCGCTGAGTACGGCCGGTCAGCCAGCTACGGATCCATCTGGTGGTGGTTCTGTCTACCCCACATTTTTCTATCTTGTCAAGTAGTAGGTTGTGATCTACTTTATCCAATGCCTTACTGAAGTCCAAGTAAATTATGTCCACAGCATTCCTCTGATCCACTAATTTTGTCACTTGGTCAAAGAATGCAATAAGATTTGTCTGGCATGATCTATTTTTGACAAACCCATGTTGGCTTTTAGTAATGACTTTGTTTGCCTCTAGGTTTTCGTTGATTCGTTGTTTGATTATCTTTTCCAGGATCTTCCTAGGTATTGAGGTCAGGCTGATAGGTCTGTAATTTCCTGGATCCATTTTTTTTTCCTTTTTTGAGGATGGGAACTACATCGGCTCTTTTCCAATCCTCTGGTAGTTTCCCTGTGTTCCAGGATCTTTGAAAAATATAGTTCAGTGGTTCCGATATCACATCTGCCAATTCCTTGAGAACCTTGGGGTGTAATCCATCTGATCCTGGCGATTTGAACTCATCTAGGCTGGACAGGTGCTCACTTACCATTTTCTTGCCTATCTTAACTTGTGTTTCTATTTTGTTTTTTATGGCACTATTTTTGATAGGTTGGTCTGTTTTTTCCCTTTGTGTAAAGACAGATGCAAAAACCGAGTTAAATAGTTCTGCTTTCTCCCTGTTGCTTGTCACCTTCTTGCCACTTCCACCCACTAATGGACCAATCATTTCCTTCACTTTTTTCTTGTTTTTTACATGTTGAAAGAAGCTTTTTTTGTTATTTTTGACTTTGGTCGCAAAGTCAAATATATACATGTTATATACATGTGCATATAAGTGCATATAAGGATGCATGCTTAAACATTTTTTAATGATAAGGATATATTGTCAAAGTTTGGAATCTCTGCCATAGAAGGTGGCTCTCTTATTCTGCAAATGTTTCTTTTTTTATTCTGGGGAAATCTTCAGAATTTGGAATTATTAGAAGTCTTCTAATCTTCTCTTTGAAAATAGTGTTTTTGAGGGGGGGGGTGAAAGTCCTCAAAAGCCAGTCAGATTTAGATATAGATGGACATTTCTCCAGGCACATGACCTCCCTTACAGCAGAGTTTCCTAACCTTTCCGGCTTTTCAGACAGCCAGGGAAGGGGATGGTTCTGTGCGAGTGGCCAGCAAGCATGTGTGCACATACAACTCCATTTGTACAACATACATACAATGCCCGCCGCTTATACAAATGGATTGCATGTGCTTGCCTGCTGCTCGCACAAGTGGGATGTGCACGCACACGCCTGCCACTTCTGCAGCGGGGTTCCGAACAGCTCACAGCCAAGTAGTGGGCCAAGTCCAGGGGTTAGGGACACCTGCCTTAGAGTTCCAGATTTGGATGCAACATGTTCTGATTGGCCTCTCTCTAAGCACCTACAATTCCTCCAGAAGATGGCAGGTCAGAGGCATAGAGAGAAACAAAAGGGTGGTTGGATCCAATCAATCCCTTGCCTGGTTGACTCTTGGAAACTGACTCAGAATTCCACCATGCTAATCTTGGACTTTGGCTTTAATACTTCTGGTATATACAACCCACTGGTCACATGGGAAATCCTAACCAAAAAAGAAATAACTCAAACAGTGCAATCCCCTCAACTCAAAGCATTGCTTTTTGCTCAGCAAGTATGGCTCCCAAGTTGGCGTTCATCCAAATGCAGATTACGGATGGACCAGGTTTTGAAAGATAAGGGCTCAGTGCCAGCTGTCCTGAGCCAAGCAAAACTCCTGGATCTGATATTAAGCTCACTCTCTGTTTTATAAGGGAGTAAAAAACACCTCGCTCAGCCGAGAGCAGCTCCAGCAGCTGGGAGCCTTTGTGTGTGACATGAAGCCAGCCACCATCACAGACTCTGACCCGGCAGTCCTGGAGAATTTGAAAGAGTGTCCAGACCTCACAGCTGCTCAGAGAATAGCCCTAGGGGGGCTCCTGGGCAGTGGGAACACCTCATATGGGTAAGTGAGAGTCTAAAAGTGAAAAATGGCTGTTTTAAAACTAAAGGTAAAAAATGGGGGGTGGAGGGGAATGCAACATTCAAGCACATTCCCTCTAATTTTAATACAAGAATTCAATTTTTATACACATATTAGTGACTATGTGTTAATTTTTTTAATGCACTTTTTTAATGTTTTGTGTTTTTTTGTTTCTCTTAACATTTTTGGGAGTTTTGTATTTTAACCTTTTTTGAATAAAATAAAAATAGATAAAATTCAATTTTTTGTCACACGAACATAGGAAATTCTCAAAATCACTTAAATGTGAGCCAACAGTGTGTATTAGTAACCAAAAAAGCCAATACAATTCTAGGTTGCATTAACAAGGGATAGAATCAAGATCATGTGAAATGTTAGTATCTTTTATAAAGCCTTAGTAAGATCACAGTTGAAATAATGTCTCCAGTTTTGGTAACTATATTATAAAAAAGACGTTGAGACTCTGGAAAGCGTGCAGAGAAGAGCAACAAAGAGGATTATGGGGCAAGAGGCTAAAACATGAAGAATGGTTGCAAAAATTGGATATGTGTAGTCTAATGAAAAGAAGGACTGGGGAGACATAGCAGTGTTACAGTATTTGAGGGGCTGTCACAAAGAAGAGGCAGCCAACCTATTTTCCAAAATATCAGAGGGGAGGACAAGAAACGATGGAAATAAATCAAGGAGAGAAGCAACCTGGAATTAAGGAGAAACTTTCTAACAGTGAGAACAATTAACCAGCGGAACAGCTGGCCTTCATCACTGGAGGTTTTAAAGAAAAGATTGGACAGCCACCTATCTGAAGTGGTATAGGGTCTCCTGATTGAGCAGGGAATTTGAGTAAAAGACTTCCATGGTTCCCTCCACTCTGTTATTCTGTTCTGTTCTGTTTTCTTTTTTTAATCTAATTGGCAATATTTATAGAGACGAGAAGGGTATTAGCCCTTTGAAAGTCAGTTGGGTGTAGGGTTTAAGGTATCCCAGGCAACCCACAATTCTGTTCTCCCCTGAACACAAAACCAGCAGGGCAATCTTTGTCCACAACTCTCTCTCTCTCTCTCAGTCCTAAGAGAGAGGCAATGGCAAACCACTTCTGAAATCTTCTAAAGAACCTGCAGGCACTCATCTAGGCAGTCACCAAGAACCAACACTAACACAAAAATGAAAAGAAAAATAACTCTTTGGAATTCTGCAGATTTGCAGAAAGCCCCCCCCCCCCGGGCTTCACAAAATATATTGTGGGAACACCTCATAGTGGACACCAAACATTGATTTGCTGTTGAATGGATAGAAAGTGATATGGAAAACCAAAATGAATGGAATTCCCTAGGTACATATGTATTTATCAATATGCTGGTCAAAAATTGTACTAAAGTTAATTACTACTATGAAATATAGGGGCACACAAAGATAATAATTAGGAGTACCATTGAATTAATGGAAAGGGAGCATACATCGAAGTTTATTTTTATAGACTCCTTCAGTTACAAAATGTCAAAAAATAGTTCTTCCAAAATGTCTTCAGAGTCAGAATTTGCACATTTACCTAATTATTAGTTTTTGCTTTGCCATCTGTGAGCTGCATCCTATACAATAATATTATACACCATCACTATCTAACATCTATTTCCATGTGATACAGACCTCCTGCCTCCTGGGATGAATCAACGCTTGAACACCTTGGACCTCTTGCTTTCTACAAAAATCACACTATCTGGGATTTCATTAACAAGGTAGGAGAAGCAGATGAACTTGCATGTTGTGGTTCCGGCCTGAAGTCAAGATGGCAGCCATGACCATGAAACTGAAGGTGTCACCATCTTAATCTCTGTTATCTCAGGGCTGAGAGAGAATAATTGGCCCAAGGGCATCCAACTACTTCATGCCTAAGGTCAGATAAGAACTCATAGTCTCCAGGTTTCTAGCCTGATACATTAGCCCTTACACCAAACTATCTCTCTCTGCAAAAAAAAAAAAAAAAAATGTGTGATGTATTATTCCAATGGATGTTCTGTTTTTCAGGAAGAAAGGATGATCTTCTTCAAAAAGGTGATGGATGGCTACAACAGCCAAAGAGCTTTTCCAGAGACAAAAACAATCCTCTTCTTAAAATCAGTTGGATCTAAGTCTGCTTCGTCTCCTAGAACTAAACGGGCAACTGAAAGTAAGGAAAAAAATTGACCTCTTGGTCTGTTGTACATGCACACCCACATACAGACATGAATGTATAGACACTAGAACCGGGAGACAATTCTCTGAGCATTGGAAGCACAATATAAAAATAAATGCATAAGCATTAAGATGCACCAAATTAAAAAAAAACTATCTTGGAAAATAGGGGGCTTGAATAGCCTAAGTAATAAAAATATACAGTAATATTCAGGGCATATAGTATTGTGAACTCATCATTTTGTCATTCAGTATATTCTTCAATACTTAGCTAGCATTACTATTTTTTTCCTGCAATCATAATAAATTATAAAGACAGGGAACTTCTTAATATCTTGCCAATATTATGGGTAGAAATCTATCTGTGATCAGCCTCTTTCCCTCAGCTGTGCTCCTGCAATAGTGTTTGTGGGTGTCTTCACAAGTCAGGCACAGTGGTGCTGGGACAGAATAAATGCGGGAAAATGAAATATGGAAGATAACATCCCTAAGGAAAAATCCAGGACCAGGAAGCCAGGAAATTATATTAATAGATTTTAACAGTAGATCCAGAGTTGAAAAGCCAAAAGGCTCAAGGAGTGGGAGAACTATAAGAGGGACAATATGCAGCGGCATCCACAAAAAGTCAAGATGGTGGCTGTTGTTGTTGTTAATTGCGAAGTCGTGTCCGACCCATCGTGACCCCATGGACAACGTTCCTCCAGGTCTTCCTGTCCTCTACCATCTTCTGGAGTCCATTTAAGTTCACACCTACTGCTTCAGTGACTCCATCCAGCAATCTCATTCTCTGTCGTCCCCTTCTTCTATTGCCCTCAATCTTTCCCAGCATTAGGCCCTTCTCCAGTGAGTCCTTCCTTCTCATTAGGTGGCCAAAGTATTTGAGTTTCAACTTCAGGATCTGGCCTTCTAAAGAGCAGTTGGGGTTGATCTCTTCTAGGACTGACCGGTTTGAACGCCTTGCATTCCAAGGGACTCGCAGGAGTCTTCTCCAGCACCATAGTTCAAAGGCCTCAATTCTTTTGCGCTCAGCCTTTCTTATGGTCCAACTTTCACAGCCATACATTGCAAATGGGAAAACCATGGCCTGGACTATACGCACTTTTGTTGGCAGGGTGATGTCTCTGCTTTTTAGTATGCTGTCTAGATTTGCCATAGCTTTCCTCCCCAAGAGCAAGCGTCTTTTAATTTCTTGGCTGCAGTCCCCCATCTGAGGTGATCTTGGAGCCCAGAAAAATAAAATCTGTCACTACCTCCATTTCTTCCCCATCTATTTGCCAGGAATTGAGAGGGCCAGATGCCATGATTTTGGTTTTCTTAATGTTGAGTTTCAAGCCAACTTTTGCACTCTCCTTCGTCACCCGCATCAGGAGGCTCTTTAGTTCCTCTTCACTTTCTGCCATTAGAGTGGTATCATCTGCATATCTTAGGTTGTTGATATTTCTCCCGGCAATCTTAATTCCAACTTTTGATTCATCTAGCCCTGCCTTTCTCATGATGTGCTCTGCATATAAGTTAAATAGGCAGGCGACAGTATACAGCCTTGCCGGACTCCTTTTCCAATTTTGAACCAATCAGTGGTTCCGTGTTCGGTTCTCACTGTTGCTTCTTGACCCGCATATAGGTTTCTCAAAAGACAAATGAGATGGTCTGGTACTCCCATCTCTTTAAGAACTTGCCACAATTTGTTGTGATCCACACAATCACAGGCTTTTGCATAGTCAATGAAGCAGAAGTAGATGTTTTTCTGGAACTCCCTAGCTTTCTCCATGATCCAGCGTATGTTGGCAATTTGATCTCTAGTTCCTCTGCCTCTTCGAAATCCTGCCTGTACTTCTGGTAGTTCTCGATCCACATACTGCTGGAGTCTAGTTTGTAGGATTTTAAACATAACTTTACTAGCATGTGAAATGAGTGTAATGGTGCGATAGTTTGAACATTCTTTGGCATTGCCTTTCTTTGGAATTGGAATGTAAACTGACCTTTTCCAATCCTGTGGCCACTGTTGAGTTTTCCAAATTTGCTGGCAAATGGAATGTAGCACTTTTACTGCATCGTCTTTTAAGATTTTGAATAGCTCAGCTGGAATACTGTCACCTCCACTAGCTTTGTTGTTGCTCAGATTTTCTAAGGCCCATTTCACGTCACATTCTAGGATGTCTGGTTTGAGGTCAATGACCATCTCATTGTGGTTATCTGGGACATTAAGCTCATTCTTGTATAGTTCTTCTGTGTAGTTTTGCCATCTCTTCTTAATCTCTTCTGCCTCTGTTAGGTCTCTGCCATTTTGGTCCTTTATCCTGCCCATCTTTGCATGAAACGTTCCCTTCATATCTCCAATTTTCTTGAAGAGATCTCTGGTCCTCCCTATTCTGTTGTTTTCTTCTATTTCTTTGCACTGTTCATTTAAGAAGGCATTCTTATCTCTTCTAGCTACTCTTTGGAATTCTGCATTCAATTGGGTGTATCTTTCTCTTTCTCCTTTGCCTTTCGCTTCCCTTCTTTCCTCAGCTTTTTGCAAAGCTTCCTCAGACAGCCATTTTGCTTTCTTGCATTTCTTTTTCTTTGGGATGGTTTTAGTTGCTACCTCTTGTACAATGTTGCGAACTTCCATCCATAGTTCTTCAGTCACTCTGTCTATCAGATCCAGTTCCTTAAATCTATTTGTCACCTCTACTGTATATTCATCAGGAATATGATTTAGTTCATACCTGAGTGGCCTAGTGCTTTTCCCTACTTTTTTCAATTTAAGCCTAAATTTTGCAACGAGAAGCTCATGATCTGAGCCACATTCAGCTCCTGGTCTTGTTTTTACTGACTGTATAGAGCTTCTCCATCTTTGGCTGCAGAGCACATAGTCAATCTGATTTCTATGTTGACCGTCTGGTGATGTCCATGTGTAGAGACGTCTCTTGGGTTGTTGGAAAAGAGTGTTTGTTATGACCATTGTATTCTCTTGACAAAATTTTATCAGCCTATGCCCTGCTTCATTTTGTACTCCAAGGCCAAACTTGCCTGTTATTCCGGTTATCTTTTGGCTTCCTACCTTAGCATTCCAATCCCCCATGATGATAAGGACATCATTTTTTGGTGTTAATTCTATAAGGTGCTGTAGGGCTTCATAGAACCGGTCAATTTCATCCTCTTCAGCACCAGTGGTTGGGGCATAGATTTGGACTACTGTGATATTGAAGATGGTGGCTGCAATTGTGCAATCAAAACTTTCCCCCTTTATGTCCATCACAAGTGCAATGCATGCAAAAAGGAAGTGAGTTTCTATTATTCAGTTGTGGCTGCCATCTTGACTTTTTTTTATTCTCATTCCCCCACCCCCACCCTGGGCACCTTTATCTGTATATAGGTATTTCCTTAAAAATGTGGAGAACTGTGCTGTTGGGGAGGTAGTTATAGCTAGGCTTGGCTTGTGTTACAGTTGGACAATAAAAAAATCTCTTAAACCACCAAGCGATCAATTACAGTGTTAATCTATCAGGTTTGTAGCATACAGGTTTGTTGTTATTTACCATGTACATTAAAATTCAGAGAAAGGGCAGCCAAAGAGGAGGGATTTGGTGGAAAAGCATGAGTAAGGAGGAGGAAGTGTTTGGGTGACTTGAAGAAAAGGTTTAGCTGATGCCTTATCTAGAATGCCTCAATATAACAGCAACAAAACAAATGTAGACAAGGATTACTGAGGCAGGACCTTACAGGTGGCTCAAGAAGAAAAAGGGGAGACCCAGACAGGAGGAGACCTGACAGAGAATTGGAAGTTGGAGCAACAGAGCCCAAGAGTTGTGACTTTCAGAAGTCTTCCTTTTCCAAAACGTGCTCAAAGAGATGATTTCTTCCTGTGAATTCTGCCAACAGCTTGCCGTTCTGCTCCCATCACCAGCAGCATCCTAGAAGATCCGCTTTTCATAATTCGATACAACAGTACCCAGCAGTTTGATTCATGTCTGAGTGATGAAGTTGTGAAGGCCAACCTGGGTCTTTTGCTTGAACAGCCCCTCCCAAATGACTACTTGACCATAGTTAAAAAGAAGTTAGACAAGGTGAGTGGCACAGGGACTGAGGGGGTCCTGATGTATACCAGGGTGTTTCCAGGAGTATCTTCAGAGGGGTCCCAAAAATTGAAACGGAGCTGACATTGTATGATTGATACCCTCATCCCATTATTGCATGTTTTGCGTACATGATGTATATAAGAAAGGAGTGGGGCTTTGATTGCATGGTCACAGATACCATGTTGATATTTTTGACTCCCCCCCAGGACACCCTGATTTTTAGTGTTATATTTGGTAATGAAATATGTAGAGATACATTAAGTCTAATAAGAAAATGTTAAGAATTTTTAAAATTAAAATTGCTATCAAGATAATCATATAGAAAACAATAAATAAGCCAATAAGTTTTAAAATGTCATTTTTCAAAATTCTACTGTATTTATTTTAAAATAACATTCTAAAATAACTTTAGAAATGGTACTCAGTATAAAATTATTATAATTCTTATTTTAATATCTAAAATAGTGGGCTTCAGGGGAAGAAAAATCACTTGTGTTGGAGATTCATAGCAGAAGTATGCTTCTGAATATAAAATCTACTGAGGCATTGAGTAGTAAGATGGAGAACAAAATTATTCATACTCTGCCTGTTTTAGTTGCAGATTATGGGCTTAGGCTAACATAGAAAAGCTTCATTCCCTCCCATACTATGCCTTGAAGGGAGGAGGGATTCCGTCTGTCTCCTAAGCACAGAAACTCATTCAACTAACAACAGGCCACTGGAATTTCAGTTCAGTCATCAGGTTTAATGCCAGGATAAAAGGGGTCAGGGTGTAGAATCTTAGAAACTGAGTAAACGAAACTCAGTCCTCATTTATTAGTCAATTTCTTAAGGCATAATTGCTGAGTTGCTTCAATTTCTTCACTACAAACTTTTTAATGAACAGACTTTTTAAGCTTATACTATTGACACATCAATCTGTTCTCTGTCATGTTTTGAAACACCTGCTTTACTTTTGTAGCCCCTCCTTCTCCCCCCCCAAAAGTGGGAAGACCATTCTTGCCAGGTCCTCTTTTTTCTACCATGTTGATTAATTAAACACCATCAACTCTTAGCAATTAAATGCATACTTTCTAGAAGATCCGTCCTTTGTATATTTACAGAGCTGTTTTAATCAAGTATATTCTTCCTGTTTTAATCAAGCCCATCCACCTTGCTGCTGGTCATCCCTTTCTCCTCTTTTCCCAGCATTATAGACTTCCCAAAGAAACGGTCTTGGCATAATGTGTCCAAAATAGGGTAATTAATGTTTGGTCATTTGTGCCACAATGGGATTTTCAGATTGTTCTCTGATCCATTTGTTTGGTTTCCTGATGTTCATGATTCACCTGCACCAAAATTCAAAAGCCTCAACCATCTTTCTGTCCCGTTTCTTTAAAATCCAGCTTTCACATCCACAGAGCATCACTTGCTACATGGTGGTTAATGAAATATATCTACTTTCTCAGAGCTACCCCGGTGGGATTCCAGAAGATCAGTTGAAGCTGCTTGGCTTCCTCTCACGTCAGTACAGCACAGACAAAATTGGCAGTTGGAACCTCACTTCCAGTGACACCCTGGCTGCTCTTCTGAATCCAGAGGATGGCGCATGGGAGATGCCACAGGTGCTGTATCAGAAGGATGGGGTGGGGGTGGGGAAACCTAGTGTCCAAACAGAATTGCGGTGAACTAGGCTTTTTCTTTATTTTTCATTTTAAGCTAGATGTGTGCTGAATACCAAAGGTTTGTCATTTAAGTGTATCACTTTTCTGACTGCCTCCCTTTATCTCTTTACACAAAAGATGTGGCTTTCTTATATGCAAATGCATATTACTGATATACAAATGTTCTTTAAATACCTCCTGCTGTGTCAGTCTGAATAAAAATAAAGTAAAATTAAAAAAAATTATCGAAATTTAATTTTATCTCATTTCTTAAACCATATGGGTTCTTCAGCAGTTTTTTCTAGATATTTACCAGCCTTCTTACCTCTTGCCTCTCCTCTGGACACGCATCCCTTCTTAACATACAACGTCTTTTCTTGCAGCTGAGGCGACTGGTTGCAAGATACATGGAACTGGGAGGCTCACTCACTGGTCCCTTACTAGACATACTGGGAGGCAAACACCTGTGTTTCCTGGATAAAGATCAGCTGCAGGAAATCAACCCAGCATCCATTAGGTCAGTGGTTCTCAACCTTTTTAATGCCGTGACCCCAACCGGTCGTAAGTCAAGGACTACCCAACCTGTCGTAAGTCGAGGACTACCCAACTGGTTGTAAGTCGAGGACATTCCCTGCCCGGGAGCCCCGCACATGCGTGGTGCCGCCCCCTGCGCCAGCTGAGGTGTAGCTGGCAAGGGGCAGAGACGGTGCAGGGCGACCACTGGCTGGGCCACCAGCTGGCCCAGCCCAAGGGAGGTAAGGCACCCACTGGGCCCCACACATGCCTGCAACCCTCCCTGTGCCCGCCGGCCTCCCACCTCCCATTCCTGGACCTCTTTTACTTACATTTTTAGTAGTTGCTCAGCAGGGAGGGGTGGAAGCTTCCAGACATCACGCCTTCGCTGCAGACAACTTGCAGCACCGTTTGCAGACTGGGGCTTTTGGTGGGCTCAGCAGGGCAGGGACAGCCTGGACAATCCCTATTGGCTTTTGAAAGCCAATAGAATTAGACTCTATTCAAGAGAGTCTATTCTATTGGCTTTCAAAAGCCAATAAAATAAAAGGGAGTAGCACAGCTAAGGAAAAGGGGAAAAAATGGCAGACTGCATTGTTTGGCGACCCCTGTGAAATGGTCATTCGACCCCAAATGGTTGAGAACCGCTGCATTAGGTAGATTGCTGTTTCTTAGTGTGTGTGTTTTAACTAAAGGAGGAGGAAATTTTGAATGCCTCCTGGGCCCAGTCTGGAAATTACAATGGAAGAAGATTGGGGAACAATTAGCAAGTAGCATGACCCAAGTGAGGAACAGATATTCTGAGGAGATTAATTAGTAAATATGGCTGTTGGCAGCTCACATATGAAAAATATAATACAAAATATACCAATTCGAAGCTAAAACACAATAGCATCACTACTACTAAAAGATCATTTAAAATGATTTAAATTATTTAAAAGAAACAAACCAAATAAAAGAGGAGGCGGAGTTGCTCTATATGTAAGGAATAACTACATCTCTACAGAAATAGAGCACAACAATGTTGAAAACTGTCTTGAATGCATTTGGGTCAATATAAAGGGGGGGGGGAAATGACATTACCATACGTGTATACTACAGGCCACCCAAACAAACAGAGGAAATAGATGAACTTTTTGCTAGTCAGCTAAGATATGTAGGAAGCACATCACAATAGTAATGGGGGACTTTAACTACCCTGACATCAACTGGGAGACAAACTCTGCACCAAGTGGAAGATCAAATTCCTTGCAAAACTAGCAGACAACTTTGTCTTCCAAAAAGTAGAGAAGGGAACTAGGGGATTAGCCATTTTGGATCTAATTCTCACTAACAGAGATGAAATGATAGAAGGTGTTGAAGCCCCAGGAACCTTGGGAGAAAGTGATCATGTAATATTGGAATTCAACATTATGGAAGCATAAGCAATAGAACACAGTCAAACTAGAGTCTTGGAATTTAAGAGAGCTAATTTCAATAAACTTAGAGAGGGCTTGAGAAGGATTCCATGGATGAGAATTCTCAAGGAGAAAACAACTCAAGAAGCTTGGGAAATTTTGAAAAGTGAGATAATAAAAGCCCAGTCCAGCACAATACCAACAAAGAGGAAAAATCACATGCTGCAACCAGCATGGCTGCATAAAGAATTCTCTGATAAATTGAAAGATAAAAAGGACAAGTATAGAAAGTGGAGAGAGGGACACATAACTAAGTCAGAATATAAGCAAATAGCCCAAGCCTGCAAAGATGAAGTGAGGAAATGAACTAAGGCTTGCGACCAAAGTCAAAAATAACAAAAAAGCTACTTTCCACATGTAAATAACAAGAAAAAAGTGAAGGAAATGATTGCTCCATTAATGGGGGAAAGTGGCAAGAAGGTGACAAGCATCAGGGAGAAAGCAGAACTATTTAACTCATTTTTTGCATCTGTCTTTAGACAAAGGGAAAAAACAGATCAATTGTAAGGACCCACCCCACTTTGCATCTTAAGAAGACAGAACTCTTGGAATAATTCTTCCAACAGGCATCCTTTATTAAGAGAAAATGGTTGCAGATGTTTTAGACAGGACTTGGGGTACAAGCTCTCCCATTCAAGGTTTTACGGGGTTCCCCAGTAGCCCTACCCAATCACCCCCTCTTCCAGCGACAGTCTCAGGCATTACACTCCCACCCCCTTTTCCTTACTGCCCGCTGGATGGAGACTTCAAAGAAAACTACATGAAAGGTAATAGCCCCATTCTTATGGTTAGTTCTTTTGGCGATACACAAATCCATTTCCTTTCAAGTGTACCAAGGGAAGTGAGGGCCATAAAGCCCCTTTGTTCACCCCCTTCCCTTCATCGTATGACAGAATCCAGAGAAGGGAGAAATGGGGTTTTTTATAATTGATAACTAGAGATGAAATATAATTGGATTCTGACATCCTGCCCCTCAAAAATACGACAGATCCACCTGAAAGAAAACAAAACAGGTATAAAAGTTAGTCAGGCTTGTTAGGGTATTCTGTGTGAAACTTCTTTAATAGCTTCGGGGCTCTGACATGACGTTTATGGACCCACTCGTTTTGTGAGGGAGGGAGGTGTTTCCAGGCAACTAGGTACTGAGTCGCTCCATGATATCTCCTAGAGTCAAGGATTTCCTTTATTTCGAAGTGTTGTTCGCCCTCCACCATGATTGGAGGTGGTGGTGGGGGGATTTTTGGCCGTAGAGGTGACTGACGCTCTCTTTTCAGCAAGCTGCAATGAAAAATTGGGTGTATTTGCCTGAGATTTTTGGGTAATTCTAATTCTACTGTTACTGGGTTTATGATTCTTTTAATTGGAAAAGGCCCTATATATTTTGGTCCAAGTTTTTTTACAGGGCTGTAGGGACTTTAGGTATTTTGTAGATAAGTACACCATTTCTCCTATAATGAATGGTGTAGGCTCAACCCTTTTTTTATCGGCTTGTGCTTTGTATGCCTGCCTAGCTTCATCTAGTGCTTTTCTAACTATTGGCCAGGTGTCTTGTAATTGTTCCATCCATTCTTTCAGTGATGGAATCCTTGGTTTGTTTGGGGTTAATTCTGACATGGGGTTGAAACTTTGACCGTTAGCTATTTGAAAAGGAGTGTAGCCTGTGCTGGAGTGGACTGCATTATTGTAGGCAACTTCTGCAAAAGGGAGTAAGTCCGTCCAATCACTTTGTTGGAAATTCAAAAAACATCTCAAATATTGCTCAAGTACTGAATGACAACGTTCTGTTTGTCCATCTGTCTGAGGGTGATGGCTAGATGTCAGTCCCTAAGAGGGATAAAAATTCCTTCCAAAATGCAGAGGTAAATTGCACTCCCCTATCAGAGATGATGCGTTGGGGTGCCCCGTGCAATCTGTAAATGTGTTGTACGAAAAGTTTTGCTAAGGCCTTTGCAGTGGGAATCTTTTGGCAAGGGATAAAGTGCACCTGTTTGGAAAACAAGTCCGTGACCGTCCAGACAACCATATTCCCATTGCTTTCTGGCAATTCTACTATAAAATCCATGGCTATTTCCCTCCAGGGGGCTGAGGGATTTGCCACTGGTTGTAATAGTCCTGGAGATTTCCCTTGCAACCTCTTTGCAGTCGCACATTTTGGGCAACTGGCAACATAACTTTCTATGTCCTTTTTTATTGATGGCCACCAAAATTGCCATTTAATTAAGTGTAATGTTTTTACAAATCCAAAATGCCCTGCTGATTTCGTGTCATGGCAAAGCTGCATGAATGTGACTCTTTGGGTTGTTGGTATATATAACTTTTCCCCTACCCAAGGCAACCCGTCTCTCATTGTGCACACATTTTTGTTTTTCTGGAACCATTCGTCTGTTTCCAAACTTTTTCTGAATTCAATTCCAGTTTGGCTGTCCAGTTGTGGTTTTAATTTAGCTTGGGTTCTTGTGGTTACTGGTGCTGCCAGTTGTGACTCTGCAATTATTGGTCTAGAGTCTGTGGTTCATGCGCTGTTATATTGGGGCATGCGAGTTCTTTCTCCCTGGTAAATGTTTGAGCTTAAATTGGAACTGGTGAAAATGCTGGGACCAGCGGGCTTGTTTGGGATTGAGTTTCCTGGGTGCTTTCAGGGCTTCCAAATTTTTGTGATCAGTCCACACCTGGAAGGTGATTCTGTTGCCTTCCAGGAACGTTGCCACGTGAGTAATGCCCAACGTATCCTGTATGCCTCTTTCTCCCATACGAGCCAGCGCTGTTCTGTTTCCGCGAGTTTCTTGGATGTATATGCATAGGGTTGCAATACTCCATCATCGTTTTCTTGTAATAGAACAGCCCCCACTGCCACATCACTTGCATCTGCCTGTATTACGAAGGGCTTGTCCATGTCTGGTGCGGCAGAAAAAAGTACTGGTGCGGCAGAAAAAAGTCTCTTTAGTCTCTCAAACGCTGCTTGGCACTCCATTGTCCATGTTAGTGGCTGGCTAGGTTTTACTGAGGATGCTCCCTTTGTTTTTAGTAAGTTAGTGAGGGGCAAGGCTATCTGGGCAAATGAGGGGATAAATTGGCGGTAAAAGTTTGCAAAGCCCAGGAAACTTTGTAGTTGCTTTCTTGTGCGGGGTGGTGCCCAATCTAATACTGCTTTGACCTACTCAGGGTCCATTTCAATGCCCTGGGGGGATATGCGATAACCTGAGTAGTCTATTCTTTCCTGGTGGAATTCGCATTTTGAGAGTTTGGCATATAGGTGGGCGGCTCGCAGTTTCTTTAAAACCGCTCTGACAAGGTTGACATGTTCCTCTTTTGTTTCGGTGAAGATAAGAATGTTGTCCAAGTAAACAAGGACCCCCTTAAACAGGTGCTCCCTTAGAACGTCATTGATTAATTGCATAAAGACTGCAGGGCCCCCTTGTAATCCAAATGGCAAGACTTTGAATTGATAGCACCCCATGGGGCAGTTAAATGAGGTCTTCCATTCATCCCCTTCCTTAATTCTCACGCAATAGTAAGCTTCCCTTATGTCTAGTTTAGAAAAAATTTT